TTTTAGGTCAGCCTTCACCTCGAAAAAATGAGTATGAATCTTCTTGTGACCCTGCCTGTTCTCAATATCCAAATTTTAAGGTAATGCTGGCAAATGTCTTCGCACTATCATCTTTTATCTTCTCTTCTACCTGCTGACCATAAGGAAAATAGTTGCTTTTGTTCACACTTAAACTATCAGCAGTGGCACCTGAGTCCTCACAGTTAGAAGGAAAGGGGCAGATTGCATCTAAGAGCCTAGGTTCTAGAGACCGTCTTGTTTCAAGCTCCCAGCAAATTCAGGCAGAGAGCTTTGCACCACTTGCTATCATGTAGAAGGCTTGCTTTTATTAAAAAGAACATATTAAAAAGAACAACAAGATCCACCCCAGATCCACACCAGATAATTTAGAGGCTAGGAGCTGCTCTTCCTCTTTCTTCTGCTCCTGACTAGCCCCATTAGAGCACAGCACTGGACGCTAATAGAAGGAAGAACGAGGGGTGCCATGCAGATTACTGTTTGTGGTGAGGACCTTCTTCTCATTACAGATTAGTATAGCTCGTGGTATAGCAGGTCCCTGCTGCATGCCTTGGATCATTGCCTTCGCTATAACAAGAACAACAGCAGGGAAAATAATGAAGTCCTGGAAAACTTTGTAGATATAGCATAAGAGAGGTAAATACTGCCCCCCCCATTCACTGATACAGCTTTCAAAGTATCTTTTAATGATCAGTATATAATAAATTAATTTTTGAGATGTGATTCATTTCAAAAAATAATTTATCCAAGAACTGTTTGGCTTTTATCAGTGCCTTTTCTTACTAGATTTTTATGATAACACAGAATGAGATATTTATGTCACCAGCTCCTTGCTGGTCAGAGCATTGCTTCAGCTGAGCAACAAGTTCCAGTGATTTGTACAGTGAATCCTTGTTGTGTCCTGATAGAAGCAAGGAGTCCACAAGTATTGCTGTCCTAATGTCTACTTAGAACTTAAAAAAAAAAAGACTTTTTTGCTTGTTCTTACAGTTTTGTGAGATCCCCCCCACCCATTCTTGCTTTGTGTCTGAAATGAACCTAGCCTCACAGGCACTTCACTCGTGCATGTTTTTCCACTGCAAGACAGGAAGATGATGACTGAAAATCATCATGACTAGGCAAGTGAATAACTATACTCCTCTGTATGAGTCTTGGCGGGATGGTTTCCCAGCTTGGTTTGTAAACCTACTGGGAAAAGACTTGCATAGTTTATTTGTCCCTTTGCATTTGTCAGACATAGATTTGGTTAGAAGAGCTATTCAGAGGTGGGCACTGTGAGGACGTGGGAGACGATAAGGTAAATTTAGTACCTCCAATATGACGTAACTTTGTTGTTGCCATTTTGAACTTTCAGATAAAATATATCATAAACTTGATAAATTCCCAAATCATTTCCAATTTCTGATGATTCAGTTGTAAATAGGCATCCTCTGTCAGTAATAACAGACTCAATCCTTTGTTGCTATTTATGCTTATGTTTCTTACTTAGCTTATATTTCTGTTACTGGCATTGCTCAGAAGGCTTGAGCAATTATTGCTTTAGTTGTGTTTATAAATATACTCCAACCGTGATGAGACTAGTGCAAGTTATCAACACCCATGCAGCACACTGATAGCGGTGTAAATCAGTATTATGCTTTGAATCATGACGTTAACAGCACTTAGTTGCTATTGCACTAGTGTTCATACTGTTCATATGGTGTTCAGGTCACTAGCGTACAGATGGGTTAAACATGCCTTGAAATGAATGGCCATGGTAGTGTAGGATTCATTTTGATATTCCTCCCAGTACCTAACCCTGGAAATATGGCTTAGTGTTTGTTGCTTTCAAATGGTAATTGTGGTAATGGAAATTCCAAAGTGTATTACCAGTTAACCTGATAAATACGCTTACTGCTCTGTCAGGGGATGTTAATGCTACTACCATTGCCATGATTGCTCTTTGCATACCTGCAATATACAGGAATACTCAAGTAAGCTTTAGATTAGGTAGCTTGTGTATCAGCCTAGTAATGACATAGTGGAAGCAGTGTAGGTCTTTAATTACATTTTAGTTTAATTAAAGAAATCAATAAATAAATCATGATAACTTGAAAATTCAGAAAAGTGATTGACTGAGCTATGAAATGGAGAGCAGAATTAGAGCTTTCCAGAGCAAGTTTCAAAGCTATTCAGTGGCGGTATAAGTTGTTTCTTTGCAGGACAGTGTTTTTTTCTTTTCCCTCTCTTTTTAGTAATAGTTGGGTCAGCATTACATACCAGGGCCAACGTTAACAATATATGAACTCTCCTAGCTACATCCAACATTGTATTTACATTACAAAGTAAGAAGTAACAAAAGTTGAATTTTTGCAGTTGGGATAAAAAAAGATGAGGATGTGTTAAAAAGGCATGTAGCAGAGAGGGGTGGAGTCTCTCCCTTCAGAGTTTACTTCTGAATATTCTAATGTTTATTTTCCTTTTAGGATTGCAGTTTAAAGAAAGGACGGACAATATTTCTTTTATTTTCATGGTGGACTCATAAATATTCTCAGACTATTTGTCTTTTACAAGGCTGTTGTACTTGCATATTTAAACAGACACTATTGAAATGTAAAGAACTGAGGCTCTATAACCAAACCTGAAACAAAGTTTAAGTTTATACGTATTTGGTGCCTAGATGTCACAAATGGTGCGTACAGCAAATACACGGGCCTTAAAATTTTACTTTATATTCCTTGATATAGAAAACAAGCCAATTTGACTTGTCAACTTAAAAAAAAAAAAAGTGTCTTTTAAATTGGATTCTTAAGATCATAAGATTCTTATGGGCTATTTCACAGCAAGCATAATATCTCCAATTTATTTTTTGCCTGGCTGTAAGAAGTTAGATAAGGCAGGGATTTTACTCTTGTGCTGATGTAAAACTTGATTTCATCAAGAATTTACCACTTCAGGGAAGTAGTTTTGAACTTTAGTCAGGGCCACTGACAAATCAAATGACTCATTTGCTTTTTCTTCTTTAAAAGGCGTTACCATTTTCACCCTGTTTTAGCATGAGTATTTGAATAAGAAACCTCACAGAACACTATATAAAGGGACTTCCAAAGACTCAGCATATTTGTACATCCTACTGAGGATGATCTAAGGTAAGGGTTACTTATCTCACTTGATAATTCTGTAAATGCTGTAGACATATTTGATGTTAAATTTGGAACACTCTTATTTTTCTGTTACATGCTTGTTAAGAGATAACTTAAGAACAATGTTTAAAAGAACCTTTGTGGTAGAGTATCTGTGTTGGCCTTTACAACATTAGGTTAGCAATGAAATTAAAATCTGGAACAGAAATAACATGGAAACCAATAGACTACAAATAGAACTTAAATGGAAATGAAAGTAGAAATTAAATAACAAATAATTTCTGAAACAGAAATTATATAGAAATTTAAGTAGAAATTAGTAGACATAGAAATTAAAATCTGAGGCCGTTTTGAGAGAAAAAAATCCCAGGACACAAACACATTTACAGGTTTTTATGATAATTTTTCTTTCTGACTCCTTCAAATGGATTTTCAGTCTCCAAATTGGAGACAATTTTGAAAGAAATAAAAAAAATTACAGCATTATTTATTATTATTGTTGGTGAAAACAGAATTTACTCCTAGAAAGCCAGATTCTGGTCTCCTTATTTGTGCCAGGTGGCCTATTAATTTTATCTGTATTAGTTAATGGAGCTGTGAAGTACATTTTTCAGAATATGAATTGGTACAGTGTTTTTTTCATTTCATATTTCAGAAGTAACCTCCTAGAACTCATAACCCCCTAGATCTCTGGGGCTGTAAAACAGCCTCATCTCTGCAATTCCAGGCTCAGTGCGGAGTTACTTCACTGTGGTCAATGAGTAACTCAAGAAGGCTCTTTGGGACCTATGGTGGTGTCACTTAGATGAGAATCTGCCATCATTGCCAAGCATCCCAAAGAATCCCTTTCAACATGAGTCTTTTCCCCTTGTGGGCTGATGGACTGAAGGGCTCTGAGGTGGGCCTCTTAGTGAGTTCCCATTAATTGAATTGAACTGATTTCTGTCTCACAATTTCCCTTTACAGAATTAAAAAAAACAAGCTTTAAAATCTCTGAATCTATGCTGAGATATTTCGCTTGATCCAAAATAAATTTTTCTTTGCTGTTTCATGTTCTGAAAAGTTTCACACTATTTTATTTTGGGTTGCTTCAAAACTTAAACGTTTTCCCCTTTGAAACTGCAGATGAGCTGAAAGGTGAGTTATTCATATGGTTATCCTGGTGCTATTTGGAGGCTGCGTGTTGTTAGGAGGACAGACACCTTGAAACTGTTGGTGGCTTCGATTGAGGTCGATAGGGGTTAACCTCTGACTATAAAGAAAGCTGATTTAGAAAAAAGCTGTGTAGCTTTGGGATCCAGCAAAGCAGAGCCCTAAACAAGTTTTTTCTTTCACTTTTCCAGGGTGTGGAAGAAATAACTTTTGTTCCTTCTAGTGCTTGATTGTCGGCTGCCTGTTTAGCTGGTAATTTGTGGAATCTGTTTGGGAGCTCTGTTTTATGGATAGAATAGAGATGACAGAGTTGAAAGTGTGCCTTTGTGATCCATGCACAGTTCACTATTGCACCCAAACAGTGAAGCGGGACCAATCTAAGGGAAAGGCTCAAGAGCAGATCAGCTGATGACAGCAGTAGCAGAGGTAAAACAGTAAAAAGGTAGTCCACGTGAAAAAGAGAGTTTAAGGGATTAGTTGGGGATTTTCCTCTAAAAGTAGAGACAAGGAGAAAAATAGCTTGCAGCTCTGCTTACCTTTGGGGAGTGTCATTTCTCATTACAACCAATAGATCATTCCAGATTAATCAAACTTTGTGCAAGTATGTGTGTTTGTGGGAAGTTCACTTTTTAAACTAATATTTTTGAAATGATAAATGCATAATTGTTTTCAGCTGGCTGCATTGTGCAGCTCAGGAAAAGCATTAAAATGGAGATGGAGACTGGAGATGAAATTGCTATTGTGGGAATAGGATGCAACTTTCCTGGAGGTAAGATTTGGTGAATGTAAAGCAGAATACTAAGTGAATACTGAAAAATACAGTTACTCATTCATTTTGATATGGAGTAAAACGACGACTTTCTCCCTTGCTATTCTAGACGTCGTTGCTTTCCTACTTCTAGAATATTTCTAAAAAGGTCACCCTAAGGTGGAAACTAGTTGGTTTAAATTTGTCAGCTGACTTGCAGCTCTATTATGCTGGCTGTGCACAGGGTATTGAACTGCACACATGAAACTCACACAAATGAACTAGATGTCTCTGGGATGACTTGAACTTGCTGCATGTGCACTGGCCAGCTGATCATGCACAGCTGCAGGACCATGCATCCATAGAGACCGAACACGCAGCAGGCCTATCAATACCACGAGCTCTACCCCTAAGATAAAAAGGGTGGCTTTACTAATAGAAAGCTTCCTGCTTTCTTACAGTAGTCCCCTCAAAAGGTCCTAGAAGAGAACAGAACTAGGTAAATATAGCTCTCTCTCTAGAATGACTCAGGTCAGATTGTGCCTTTTGTAAACGTGCACCTAAATACTGCCTTTTATTCAAGGCAATGATTTTAAAAAAGAATTGATGCTGGCTATTGTAATAAAAGAAAACAGTCCCTGTTGCACAAGTCTCATATTTATGATCTTAATTACAATTAGGCCCTATAAATAGTGACAGTAGACAATATCTTCTAAGGTTAGCTAGATGGAGGTGTTTAAATAGGTGGAGAGAGTGCTAGGTTCTGGCTCCTGCTCTCAAACCTTCAATACACTGTGCATTAGATACACACTGGTTAAAAAAAAAATCCAGAAATGATCCAGGGAATAGAATACAGTTCTGTCCCTGCAAGTCAGTGTTCAGCTCTAAAGGCCACCGTGCTAGTCTCTTACTTCCTTGTTTTCTTCCTTGCCTCGCCACGTTTCGGCTCCTGCCTTCACTTTGTCCCAGATTCAATAGGTTTATATATATACACCAGTAACTATGTAGGCCATATATTAATTATGAATACAAATTAATGATTCTGAAATCTAGTAAAGTGCTATAAAATATGTAGTAGCAATCTCTTACCCCAGCATTAAATGCTAATTTGGTGCAAACTCTGTTGGTCCAATCATCACATTAACAGGGAATCTCTTCACCTACATTCTTCTTAATTATCTATTCATATAGTGACACACATGAACCCATGTGTTCTCATCCGTCACTGTGCATCCTCAGAACTGCGTTTCTTAACTGGCCTTAAAAGAGTCACTGGTATTGTTGAGTGATGGGAGCTGTTAACTACCGATGTCTAGCTAGTGTCCGTGGCTACGCCTATGATGATGGATTAACGTGGCAAGGTCTTAGGTGGGAATGCTCTCCTGCAACCACTGTTACTGACTGTTAGCACATCCCTCAGTCCAGCTTTGGCTCAAGTCTGTTTGAGCTCTCCTAGGCAGTGCCAGGGCACACCACAGGTTAGTTAGTACCTGCAAGGGACTGTTCCCAGAGTGACTGTGGAGAAGACCACAATGTATTTTGGGGGAGGTGGAAGCTGGGGGGAGGAGAAATGTGGGCTACTGTGTGGATGCCCTGTTTTGCCTCAGGGCCAAGGAGTGGGCCCAGGCCTGTGTTACTTACTAGTATAGACATACCCTCGGTGCCTGCAGCTGGAGTTCTGGATCTCAGCCTGTAAGGACAGGCTTTCTTACAATCCAGGAGTAAGTTGGGCTTTGTCATTGTTGAATATCCACATACTTTTATATTTCAGTTGAGATCCCTTTCTAGTGCTGAACTGTGTTAGGGACAAAGGATGACGTCTCTGGCATTTTCGTGGTATTTATAAGCTCAGTCTCCCTTCAAAGAGTTAATGTCCAGAGATGCCCCTTTGCTGCCAGAGAAGCTTCCTGAGGAATGATGCTGCACAGATAGAGACAGACCTGATCATACCTGTGTCGTCACTGAGGAAGTATTGCACGTTTACAGGAGATGCAGTAACATGATACGGAAATGAGGATGGTAGAGTATGCCCTTTGCTGTAGTCAGCCTTTGGAATGGTGATAAGGGGGGTGCCTAAGCTTGTTCATTTTTTTGGGACTACAAATGTGAATGCTGTTGATGGTCAACTTGCTAGAGCTATTTTATTTGTTTGGAAAATCATCTTAAAACTTCTCAAGAGTTTACAAAGGTTCAGAATTTTGTGGGGTTCCTTTTGTTTTTGAGTATGCAGTGAAAGGAGCAATCATTCATTTCCATTTCCCCCTCACTGAAGAATTATCATTTCTTTATCTCTAGTGATTCTACTTTAGCAAGCTAGATTTATATGTGAAAGTTCCTTATAAATGAATGTGCATTTCTGAATATGTGTGTGGGGGGGCATAATTTAATCATTAAAATATTGATACAACAGGTGAAGGAACTGACAACTTTTGGAAAGTCCTGGAGGAAGGCAAAAACTGCGTAGTAGAAATACCCCCAGAGAGGTTTAATACCAAAGAGTGGTACGATCCAGATGATAACAAACCAGGAAAAATATGTACAACACGAGCTGCTCTTCTCAATGAGTAAGTGTGTACAGTGCTGTGCCATAGATTTTTTTTTTGTTTTGTTTTTACAGTAATGTGTCCAGCCTTGCACAGAGACCGAGCCAACTGGAGACCTTGTAATTGGACCTTGTAAAAGAATTTCTTTTATCTCACAGGACTGAACATGCATCAGATTGAAGGAATTCCTGTTACATGACATCTATGAGCACATTCAGTTGCCAGCCGTGTTAGGCACATATGTACATGACTAGGAATATTTCTGATCTGTGGTTGCATAATCCAGTATGTAAATACTTACATACTCATCATGTGTTGAGATGTTAACCTGCCACATGATGGGGATGTCTGCATTTGGACTGCACATAGGTGCATGTGGTATGTATAGGGATATATGACAGATCTAAGGTGGGCTACAGCCTGCCAAACAATTCATACTGTCCAATTATGGACAGCAGAAGAAGGTGGCAGAGTACGGAGCTGTAAGAACTGCCTGATAAGCCTCCTCCAGGTTCAGCCTGGAGGATGGCCTGCTTTGCTGGATCGCAGGACCTAATCCTGTGCTTGTGGGGATGAATAGCTGTGATTCAAATGAGGCTATGACAGTTTAGAGGCAAAGTAAGAAAGTCTGTGTTTGCTACATGGTCAAGAAGGGGATCTTATGCTTTTTTTGGGTGCTATGCTTGCCTGTAAGCCTGAACTAGTGATAATACACTAGTAATCCTGCTTTTCTCTGGGATCTTACTGTCATTTATTAAAAATAAACTAACTTTTCCCTGTTCTCGCTCTTTATTTGAGGATTTCCTTATAATAATGGGGGATTATGTATTTATAAACATTGGATAAAGATACTAGTGTAAAGGGAAATTGTGGAGAAGCAAACTATGTATCCCTTCACCTGCGTCCTGATACGTCATGTCAAATTAGCTCGGAGATATGCTTATAGCTGTACAGGAGCTATTACTAACGCTAAGAGTAGCAAATAAACACTACAAAAGAGTAGTAAAATCAACATAAGTGTCAATCCTAACCCTAAATCCACATTTATTTTAAATCATCATATCGTAAGCCTTTATTCAAGTGAAAAGTTAACATGCACAGGAGTAATCTTATTGCCTCATAAGAATAACCCTTTACAGGTTTGAATCGTAGAACCTGGAATTACTAATTAATCCCATGTTAGATGTCTAGTTTCCCACTAAAGCCAAGAAATGACACAAGGCCATACATGATACATGATGGGATACAAGATTAAGTCTGGGCTTGATCATTTCTAAGCGTAGGCCTATTTTAGAGATTTTTTTTAAAGGTAAACCAACACACACACCCAAAATATTTTAAATGTATTATTCTCTTGGAAGCATCGGAGCTGATCCCCTAAGTATTGAATGTTACATTGCAAAGGCATCGGTCAGTATTGCCTTGAAATTATTTAGAAGACAATATTTGTTTAAAACCTGTGGAATAAAACCACATTACAGTAGAGGGAGTCTAATTGTGCAAATTTTCATAATGTGACAAGTCTTGTTGAAATTAATGGGCTAATCATGTGAATAAAAATTTCTAGGACTGGGCTCATAACTCTGCAATGCCAAACAGCTAGTAAAAATACATACCTTGGGGGGAAAATAGAACATCCTTTGCCTATAAACCTTTGCTTCTGAACTTCAGAAATGGAAACTGCGGCTTAAATACCAGTTACTGCTTTGCTTGTCATGAAATTGCAAAAAGCATGCGCATTAAATCTAGAAGTGCATATTGTGTATATGTTGAAATATTTTCTGGTTTGTATATTTTAGATTCAATGCATTTGACAACTACCTCTTTGGAATTAACAATCTGGAAGCTGAGCGCATGGATCCACAACAAAAGTTGCTGGTAGAATGCACATACAAAGCACTGGAGGATGCAGGAGTCCCTGTAGAAGCCATCAGTGGCACCAAAACAGGCGTTTTTATTGGTAAGATAAGAATTTCATGGTGCAAAATGTCCATTTTAACCTCACGAAGAACACGATCCTTCTTAAACGTCACATGTATCTAGCATTGGAGAGCCTAAGGCTGCTGTGTTATGACAGTGTTGGTTATTTTAGGTAAAGATTACTAGGTTATTCTAGAAGTTCATTATGCTATTAACCCGTCCACTCTTAGTTGCGCCTTCTAGTGTCTCCAGGCACTGAAGCTGAAGCACAAAACAATTAAACTGTCTACCGAACCCTGTCCAGACATAATACTCTCAAGCCAGACTTACACTTAGATATTTCCCAGTATAATAGTATTGGCTCAGTTAGCATGGGCTTTTAAGTCCTTTTTAAGCCAGCAGAAATCCTCAGGTAGATACTAATGTACTACCTGAGTGCACTTGTCCAACTGCTTATTTTGTTAAGTAACTAGAATAACAGCACATTTTTGCTAGTACAGTATTTGTCTGCTTTAAGTGGAGCTTACTGCGACAGTCTGATGGAGATAACGATAATGGCAAACTGCTTAGATTACCTTTTAGTCTGAGACAGGCTCCTCTTAACACAGAGGTTATTCCTTGCTCTCTGAATGGATGTACTGTGTTTTCCACACATAGCTGTGGAATCGGGGATCTACTATGTTTCAAGCACATATGTTCTCATGGAGAGGAGACAACTCCTCTGACAGGCCCAATTATTCTTTTCTATTTCTGTCTTGCTCACTGGATCACAGCAAGCAAAGCGAAGATAAGAAAAAGAATTTGATGTAGCCTAGACTGTGACTTTCAACTGGGAACGTCTGAGGAATCTGAGCTCATGTCCTGTGCATTTATGTCTCAGCTATCCTCATTGTAACTTCTTAATATATATTCCCTTAGCTAAACAAAATCAACTTACTTTTAAATAGAGATACAGCTGTCTGAATAGTCTATGCACAGCTTAATTGCAAATCACACAACTAGCTAAGCCAGCAGATAAGGCCTGTTGTTTACTGTCCGGGGACAAATTTCAAGTGTCAGGAACGTTTGTGTAAGTTAGGCCCGGTAGAAATTGTTGGCAGTTTCACCTTTGACTTGAGGAGAAACAAAGTTTCACCATAGTTTCATCACCACTGATGATATGTAGCTTAGTATTAAAACAGAAAAACAAAGCACGCAATCAGGTTTAGAGTTGTATGTCCCTTTTGTTCTCTCAGGTTAAGGTGACATGTTTGATATTTTTACAGGTCTTATGAATCGAGATTATGAAATCATAACAAGCAGAGCAGTGAGTGAAATAAATCATTATGACGGTACTGGAACAGCAATGAGCATAGCTGCTAACCGGGTCTCATACACATTTAATCTGACTGGACCATCACTGGCTATTGACACTGCATGTTCATCGTTTCTTTTTGCTTTGCACTACGCCTTGCGAGCAATTAAAGCAGGTAATGGGACTCAAGGGATGCTAGACAAAGACATTAGGATTGATACTGTGAGAGATAGCTGGGATATTAAGATTTCAGTGTTTTTCTAGGGTTTGATTCATATCACGGCTAGCAATACCTATACCTAAACTGTAGCATTACTGAAGTGATTTAAATACAGCTTTTTTTTTTTTACCTTTACCTTCACCAAAGGGAACTGATAAGTTCCAATGTCTCAGAAATACCCACCGTATCTATAGGAGAAAGAAACCTTTCATTATAAGGAATAATGTTACTCCCTCAACCACATACTGATGTATTTTTTTTTTACCCTTAGCTTCACCAATAGGGAACTGATAAGTTCCAATGTCTCAGAAATACCCACCGTATCTATAGGAGAAAGAAACCTTTCATTATAAGGAATAATGTTACTCCCTCAACCACATACTGATGTAGTTCTAGAGACCTGTGTCGGGTGCTCTTTCAAAGACCCATTTCAGTAACTAGTTCCAATCTTGAAAATATCAATATGTCAAATAATTTTCAATATCATTAATACAATCTCTCTGAAATATCTGCCTTTTCAATTGCTACATATAATTAAATTATTTCTGCCTGTCATGTCATGGACATCTCGATATGAGTATGTTTCTATTTTACTGCAGGAGATTGTGAGGCAGCCATCTGTGGTGGAGTGAACTGCATAATAGATCCCCGCGTGTTTGTATCTCTCAGTAAAGCAAAAATGATCTCTCCAGAGGGAATAAGCAAACCCTTCTCCAAAAGGGCAGATGGCTACGGAAGGGGAGAAGGCTGTGGTGTTGTTTTCCTGAAACCACTGAAAAAGGTAAGCTTGTTTGTGAAGTAGCTGAAAATAAGATTGCTTATTTATCTAGGTTTTGTATCTCCCGTTCTAGTAAATTCCTCCAAAATAAAACTCTTCTAACTCTTCTAATTCAAGCCTAATATTAATAAAGCATTTATGCACTTCCCTAGCCTGAGGATCATGCATTTAAAAGTTAGTATTATACTCTGTCTATTCTTAGTTTTATTTTTTCTTATATAGCAAAAGCACAGGTTTATTAAAGACATTGCTTTCTTTTTATGAAACAGGCAAAGGAAGACTACAACAAAATCTGGGGTGTTATAAGTATCAGTGCAGTGAGTCAGAATGGTAGGTCCATAACTCCGATCACAAGACCATCTCAAACAGAGCAAGAGAAGTTGCTACGCAGCATTTATCAAGCTCATGTTGATCCATCAGTTGTGCAGTACATTGAAGCACACGGTACAGGAACTGCTGCTGGAGATCCTACGGAAGCTGAAAGCCTAAGTAGTACCGTTTGTAAAAACAGGTCTTCACAAGTTTCCATTCTGAAAATTGGTTCAGTGAAAGGAAATATTGGCCACGCTGAATCAGCTGCTGGGGCAGCAGGGTTAATCAAAGTGCTTCTGATGATGCATCATGGAAAGATTGTTCCATCTTTGCACTACTCAAAGGACATGAGTAGCATTGATGAAGAGAAATTAAACCTTGCAATTCCCACAGCTGTAGAGCCCTGGGAAGAGCTGAGTGGGTATGGAAGAGTAGCTGGCGTCAACTGCTTTGGGTTTGGGGGAACCAATGCCCATGTTGTTGTCAGGCAGGTTAAGCAATCAGAGCCTCTTCCTGCCTTTAAGAGGCCCATTGAATTAGTTCTGCTGGCTGCAGCATCAAGTAAGTCCCTTCAGATGACAATGGCAGATACAGCTGAGCAGCTGAGTACAAGCAACGCTGTGACTCTCCCAAGTCTGGCCTATACATCTGCCTGCAGAAGAAGCAACGCCAACTACCAGTACCGAAAAGCATTTGTCACAAACTCTCTCCAGCACTTGCAGCAAGAGATTATGTCGGCAGTGAGTGCTGAACATGCCCTGTGGAAGGTGGCACCAGAGCTCGTGTTTGTGTTCTGTGGCAACGGTGTAACACTGAAGGAGTTCTGTGAGGCACTGCTGAGTTCAGAGCCAGTGTTCAGAGAGAAGTGTAAAGAAATAGAAGCGCTCTTTCAGAGACATGCTCCCATCAGTCTCCTGCCAGCCAAAGACTGCAGCTCAAAGGACTTCTCCAGTCCAGAGCTCACCCAGCCCTTGCTTTTTACCCTGCAGGTTGCCTTAGCTTCTCTTCTGAATTACTGGGGCATTAAACCGGCCACTGTTGTTGGCCACTCAGTGGGGGAAGTTGCTGCTGCCCACTTTGCAGGGTACCTTTCCCTGGCAGATGCAGTCAAAGTGATTTATCACCGGAGCAGGCTGCAAGCAAAAGTTGTCAGGGGCAGAATGTTGGTGGTCGGAAACATCCCAGTTAAAGAGATTGCTGAACATCTGCATCGGTACTCGGGAAAGGTGTGCATTGCTGCTTTCAACAGCCCTGTTTCCTGCACCTTATCTGGAGATTCAGACTCTGTGGATGCTGTCCACAAAGATTTAGCTCAAGCTTTCAGCAGCAGAAACATCTTTCTTCGTGTTTTAAATGTCCCAGCTGCATACCACAGCCCCAGCATGGATGAGATCCTCAAGGAATTGGAAGAGAATGTGCAGCATTTAGAAAAACAGAAGGGGGAAATTGAAATAATTTCAACACTAACTGGGATGGCTGCTTCAGAAGATGACTTCAGTCAGGGCAAATTCTGGGCCCGGCATACTCGTGAGCCTGTTGCTTTCACTCAAGCCATAGAAACAGCAGCTAAAGACAAGGAAAATGTGGTGTTTGTGGAAATAGGTCCTCACCAGGCATTGCAAAGAAACATAACAGAAACTCTAGGAAAGGGCACAAAGGTGTTCTCATCTTTGCAAACTGGTGCAGAATATCAGACACTCCTTACCCTGTTAGGAAATTTGTTTGAACTGGGATATAATCCCAACTGGCAACACTTTTACAATGGGTATCAAAGTGTTCCAGTGGCCATTCCACGGTATCAATTTGATCGCAAAAAACTGATGGCCTGTCTGGACATTCATCAACAAGCAAACCAAAGAGGAGTCAGCTCCAGCCATCCTTTGATTTATAGTATGAACAGTGACAACATGCAGTTTGGCTGCCTGGTATCTCAAGACACAACACCCTACTTATATGAGCACAAGAACAACGGTCTGGCTTTAGTCCCTGGTGCTTTTTATGTGGAGCTCGGTCTGGCCTCTGTGATGAACAGCTCAAGGCCTAAAGTTCCTCTGGGCACTTGCCAGATGAGTATCACTTTTTCCGCACCGTGTGTTCTTAGCGAGAGTTCCCAAGTCTTGCATATCAAGCTGAGCCCACAAAAAGCAATGACAACCTTTGAAATACTTTCTCCCTTCAATGCACATTTTGCTGCGGGCCAAGTTATAAAGGTGCCTGAACCTGTAGTGGAAGAAAGCACCATCTCCTTCCAAGACATCTATCAAAGGTGCAGGTCAGTGGTTAGCACAGCGGAGGTTTATGAAATGCTGTCTCAGGTTGGCTTTCAGTATGGCTCCATATTCAGACAGCTCAGTGACGTGCACTATTGCCAGGAACTAAAGGAAGCCATAACAAGCATAAAGGTGAACAGGCAAACTGTTGGAGAGATGTACAACTACTATATCCATCCAGTGCTGCTAGACTGTTTTCTGCAGATGACAACTGTCATGACCTCACAGACCTTCCAGTCCAGAGCAGGCTTTCCATCAGGGATAGGCAGCCTGGTGGTGCTCCGACCACTGGAGGAAGAAATGATGATCTATATGAGAACAAGTAAATCCACTGGGAACTGTTTAGAGGTCTGTGGATGTTTTATGGACAAACGTGGCTCCATTTTGGCTGAACTCAAGCGTGTTGCCATCACTTTCGTGAAGCAAGCATCTTCCAGAGAAAATGAGTTCATGTTTGAGAACAAGTGGAAAGAAGTCTCTCCTTCACCGACAGTTGGACACCTGGGGGCAATGCCCAGAGTCCTAGTGTTTGCTGACAAATTTGGTATAGCTGAGCAGCTCAGAAAATATTTGCATCATGAATCCAGGTATGTTATGTACGAAGACTGGGAAACCCTCCTAGAAGTCCACACAGAGAATAAAATGAAAAGAGAGGTTGAGGATTATGATGAAATTCTATTCCTCTGGGGAATTCAAAAGTTAAATGAAGAGTTCCCAAGCAAAGTGGTGGACCAGTTGGCAAAGTGTTGTGAGGCCTATCGCCAAGTTATCGTGGCATTAAGAGGGAAAACATCCCGCTGTTCAGTCAGACTGATCACATACAAAACAACAGGAAGAAATGTAGACCACATTAACAATGGGTTTGCTTTGTGTGGCATGACCAGAACTTGTGTCATTGAAGTTCCGGAAGTCACATTTCAGATGATTGACCTCAGCTCTTCCAGTTCCCTGGACATCTCAGCATTAGCAGAAGTTCTTGTTAAATACAAAGGTATGGACTATCCAGAACTTTGGATCAGCCAGGGAAGAATTTACATGTCTGAAATCAGACGCACACCTTTTATAGATGCAGATTCTAGCCAACCCATAAGATCTCTCCAGAAATCAGAAACATTCACTTTGTACACGGCTGATCCATACACAGCAAAAGACTTATCTGCTGAATTATCCACCAGAGCTTTTACTGCGCTTGAAAAACAGTGTGTTGAAATTCAAGTGGATAAAATATGTCTCCACTCAGAAGATTATTCTCCCATTAGTGTTTCTAGCCGTAACTTTGGCAATGCACTGTACTGGAATTCACAAGCAGTAGACAAATATGGACTTCTAGCCCTTGATTACAGTGGCACAGTAACAGCTACAGGTACTGATGTGAAGAAAGTTAAAGTGGGAGACCATGTGGTTTCCTGTTATCCAGCTGCTGCATCATCCAAAATTCGGATTCCATGGACAGTCTGTTTCAATGTAAAGAAATTTCCATGGTTTCAAAATGTCCCTTGCATGTCATACTTTATCATTGCATGGGAAATATTAAATCGGAGGTTACCCAAGAGGAAACACGGAAGAACTTTAGGTATTATTTCTACAGAGCCATCATCAGTTTTGTGCCACGTTCTTTCTGTGGCAGCAGAAGAGATGGGTTGGAGAACGGTACTTGCAAGGCCCACTCCCGATAAGTTCCAATATATAAACTTATGCAATGCCCTTGTTGTTCTTCCTCCAGTACATGAACTATCTCAGGAAGATCTGGCTCACATGTACTTTCTTAAAGATGTGGTGATAGTACGTGGCAATCAACAGTCTGAATGTGTCCAAAATGTCATTGGAATTGATCATGAAAATATCTGCTTTCATATCCTTACACTTAGCAGCATTTTCCAGAAAGCATCTCTAAAGGAATTGCAAAAGACTGTGCATGCATGGATCAGTTCAATGGATATGAAACGGTTTAAAAGTCTATCAGGTTCTGTTTTTCAGCAAACTGAGAACTTTGAAAGGATGAACTCTGAGATGTCCTATTTTGCCTGCAAATCTGTCCCACTTGCTGTACTGAGAAGGCAGAGGAGGGACAACACCATGGTTTCAGAAATACCCTTGTATGAACCCCGGAAGAAAATTTTTAAACAGAATGCTGTTTACGTAGTAGTAGGGGGGCTCACTGGACTTGGCTTTGAAACTGTGAAGTTCATAGCCCAGAGTGGAGGTGGGTGTATTGCAATCCTCTCCAGGAAAATTCCAAGCAATGAGAAGCAAGAAGAGCTCAAGACTTTGCAGCAGCAGTATGAAGGGAGCAGAGTAGCATTTGTGCAGTGTGATGTTACTTCAGCCAAGGAGGTTGAGAAAGCTTTCCAGTATATTGTGCAAATCTTTTTAGGGAGTCCAATCAAAGGTGTATTTCAAAGTGCTGTGGCTTTACATGATGGCCCTCTTGAAGTTCTGAAATTGGCTGACTTTCAGAAAGTGCTAAGCCCCAAAGTAGCAGGGGTCATAAATCTTCATTGGGCTACCAGGGGTCAGGAGCTTGACTACTTTGTGTGCTACTCCTCTGTCACTTCCTTTCTGGGAAATTCCACACAAGCGAACTATGCAGCTGCAAACTCTTTCCTGGATGTCTTCTGCCACTACAGGAGAAACTGTGGGCTTTCAGGCCAATCCATTAACTGGGGTGCTTTGAACCTAGGCATACTGCTCAATCAAAACAAGATTCAGAACATTCTGGGATCCAAGGGCATAGATATTCTGCAAGTGCATGAATTTCATGAGTATCTCAGAAAGAGCTTACTTATGAATAACCCACAGCAAGCTGTCATCAAATTAAATTTTCAAACTTTACTTCATCATGTTCTTTCTCGGATTATGCCACTCAAAAGTCGCTTCTTATCACTTATGTCAGAAGAATTCAGTACCAAACTTGAAGTATCTGAGGAAACTCAAGTCCAGGATGCTGATTTAATCAAACCTGAAACGTATATCACCTCACTGGTGAGTGACTTCACTAGATGGAACCCAAACGAACTAACCATGAATACAACACTTTCGTCATTGGGCATAGACTCTATGTTAGCTATGACAATTCAGAACCGTATCTTTCATGAAAGAAAGGTGGACATACCTCTTTTGAAACTGCTTGATCCTCACACAACTCTGTCAAGTTTAGTAGTAGTTTTAGAAGAAACAGCCAATGCAAATGGAATATCTGAGAAAGAAAATTATGCAATTGAAAGTGCAGAACATGGGAGCTGGCTATAGGAGTCTTCCTCATTCAGGAATTATGTAACTCTTAAGTGGACCTTTTCTGGTATCTCAGAATATCTCATTGCAAGGTCTGGGTAGAACATCTGGTGATGCTAAATGTGCTCTTCTGTGTTACTCCAGAAAAGCCCAAACCAGGTTCTTCTGCTATTGCACTAAGTTTGTTACTTTCAGTGAATTGTTTGACATGTTACTTTCATTATTTTTTTACTTTCATTTTTCAGTATTTTTAAACTCAAAATAGGAAGGCTAATACCTATACACTCTAATTTTGCATTTTTGTACGTTAAATGTTCATTGTATTTGTTTTACCATTTTAAAGTGTTGATGAAAATGATGTGATTGCAGTTCTACATGACCAATGTATGTGTAAAGCAGCATAGTATTATAACAATTTTTTACTGTTATATTCTTAATATATTATAATTTTTGACTATCTTATGAATATAAATATAGACATTTTATGAAAGACTTTTCTATGTTGTGAATTTAAGAGATTACTTCTCAAAAATTAACTTAATTTTTCCTTATGTCTGCAAAAATATTAAAAATTAATCAGTAGAAAAGCAAACAGTAAAACAACTTTGTATTGTTTAATTACCCTTCTTTTACTAAAGACCAAATAAACGAGAATTTTAAAAAATAAAACCTAAAACCTTTGTCTTATTTTAATTTTTTGTCCCTCCTCCACTCTCCGAGTTTAATTTTTCCTGATTTTAACAACCACCCTTATTTTACTCTAGAGAAAATACAGACTTTCTTCCAAAGACACTGAAGGAAACTGTCTGTAGTCTACTAAAATGCGAGCAGGGCTCTTGTAGTGTTACTCCATTTTATACCTAATTGCACCATTCACCCCTAGATGTCTGTTGCAACTCTGGCTGTATTCTCTAGTGCAAGGACTGTCCAGTCCTACACTAATACAGGAATGGCACAGAACTTTGCTGGGAGGAAAGGGTACCAGTTAATGAAACAAGGCAAGACTTACTTGCTTTATTATAGAGCACAGACTTCAGTCATAGGGAAAACATACCAGGATCAAATGGGTGGGGAGAGATAGGCTTTATTCATAGAATCAGATAATAGTTCAGATTGGAAGAGACCTCAGAAGTTCATCAAGTCCATCCTCTTGCTCAAAGCAGAATCAGCATCAAATTCAGACCAGTTGGCTGATGGCTTTGTCCAGTCAGGTCCTGAAAACCTCCAAGGATGAAGATTCCACAGCCTCTCTGAGCAACTTATTCCAGTACGTAATTAACCTCATAGTGAAAGGAATTTCCCCCTTATATTCAGTTGGAACCTCCTTGTTGCAATATAAGACCCTTGTTTTTCGTTCTCCCACCACACACCTCTGTAAAGAGCCTGGGTCTCCTTTCTTGGTAACATCCTCTCATGTATTAGAAGGCTGCTATTAGGACCCCTTGAAGCCATCTCTCCTCCAGGCTGAACAAGCCCTGTTCCCCTAGCCTCTTCTTGCAGTTCTGGTACTCCAGCACCCAACCATCTTGGTGGTCTTCTGCTGGACTTACTCAGGTTTATCAATATCTTTCTTATACAGGGAGGAAGAGAGGGGCAAATATGGATTTAGTGTTCCAGATGTGGTGTAATGAATGCCAAGCAAAGGGGGAAAAATCACTTCCTTGGATCTACCGGCTACACTCTTGTTGATGCCTCCTAGAGTAGTGTTAGCCTTCCTTGCTGCCAGCGTACACTGTAGGCTTGCGCTTAGCCCACCACCTGCCGGGACCCTCAGAGTGGCTTGGCAGATAGCTGCCTGCTGGTGGTTCCTCCGTGGCTGACAGTGACAGTCCCAGCCTTTGGCTCCTGGAAAGGTTTTGAAAGACTAGCAGATTTGAGCTGAAGGGATGCCTGGTGCTCCTAGGACCATCAGGTATGCCTTTTCTCCTCCTCTTTGGTGAGTGACTTCCCCTTTTGCCATTAGACACTACAAGAGATTCATCCCCTCCAGTGTGGGGGGCTGATGCTGCTAAAACTCCTCTCTATATTTAACAAGTGGCTTTTCTTTGAAACCCACTCCCCATTTCTCAGAAGTTGTTTAGCTGATTCATTCATTAGGATGATTCATCGGGGCCACCAAAGTGCAGTGATAGATGTATGCGGTTAAGAGTCGTGACTGAAAGTAGATATTACCTTATTTGTTAAATGAGTACCAAAGTCTGGGAGGGTTGTATTTGACCTTCTGTCTTTGCTTTGAGTAGGGAGTTGAACTAAATGACCTGCAAAGGTCATAGAGATTCACAGAACAATTTGGGTCGGAAAGGATGTCTGGCAGTCATCTAGTTCAGCCCACTGCTCAGTTTGCAGGGCTAACTTAGGTTGGGTTGTTCAGGGCCTGGTCCTACTGAGTTTTGAATAATGCCAAGGACGGAGATTCCACAGCCTGAGCCGTCTTTCCCAGTGATTGACCACTCTCATTGTGGACAAATTTTTCCATGTATCTAATCATAATTTCTCTTGAGGCAGCTGGGTCTCTGCCTTTTGTCTTATCACTGTGCATCTGAGAAGGGTCTGGCTCCATCTTCTTTCTCTACTTCCTCCCAGCAGGTCGTCGTAGACAGCAGAAAGAATTCCCCTTAGTTTTCACTGCAGACTGAACAAGCCCTGCTCCTTCGACTGTTCCTGGTATGTCACATGTTTCAGCCCACAACCACTGTGGTGGCCCTTTACTGGACTCACTCCAGTATGTTAATGTCTGTCTTGTATTGCAGAGCCCAGACCTGGACACAGCACTGCCAATGCAATCTCATATGTGCTTAATAGAGGGGAGTGATCATTTCCACGGACCTGCTGGCGACAGTCTTGTTTATATAGCCCAGTATGCAGTTGGCCTTCATTTCCACAGGACATACTGCTGTCTCATATTCAACTTACCGTCCACCAGGAATCCCAGGCCCTTTTCTGCAAAGGCCAGCCAGTCCCCAGCCTGTACTGCTGCATGGGACTATTCCAACCCAGGTGCAAGGCCTTGCATTTGTCTTTGTTGAAATTCATGAGATTTCTATTAACCCATTTCTCCCTCTGAAGAGCAGCCCTGCCCTTATTTGTGCCAACTGTTCCCACTCAGTTTGAGGTCCTCCATGAACTTGCTGAGTGTGTACTACGTCTTATTGTCTAGGTTGTTACTAATGAATTTAAATTGTATTGGCCTGATATCAATCCCTGAGTGACACTGGTAGTAACTGGCTGCCAGCTGCATTTTGTACTGCTGATCACTGCTCTTTGGGCCTGGTGGTTCAGCCAATTCTCCACCCAGCTTATAGTCCGCTTATCCAACCCATAGCTCACCGATTTGACTACAAGGTTATTTTGGTACGCTGTGTTGAAAGCCTTGCTGAAATCAAAGTAAAGAACATTCTCTGCTCTGCCCTCATCCACAGAGCCAGACTTACCATTGTAAAAGGTGGTCAGGTTGGTCAGGCATGAATTGCCCTTTCAAAATCCATGCTGCTTGTTCCCAGCCACCTTCTTGTCCTTCATGTGCCACATCATTCATGTCTCTTCCAACATAAATTATTCTGAGTTTATGGTTCTGTATGGCTAGAGATCCCCACGACCTTGTCCAAGACTTTACGGAGTGAAGCACAGTAATAAAGCGGGGAGCAAGTCACTGAATATGTATACATATGAAAAGACCCAGGAAAGAATTTAAAACCATACTGGTTCTGATATGGCAGAACCTGACCAAGAGCCAAGCAAGTCACAAAGCAGAGAGACACACAATTACCCATGTACTTGCTGCTTGTGCTGTTCCCTGCACAAAAGCACAAGAAGCATACTGCACTGATGGCCAGTTCAAAGCAATAATGTAACGCTGCAGCTTCATACAGAAGGTCTAAATTAAAGATGTATTTGTAACTGTGATATGGAGACTGGAGGACACTTCAGGACATCAGCCTTCGATGGGCTGGTGGCTGGAGGGACTCATCTGAGAAAGTATGATGCCAAGGCCTGTTGCTATTAATTCAAGCACAGTCATTGATCACAAGAATCATGTTGACCACCTAGAACATGTGGAAAAGAAAAGTAACCAGAGTGAACAGCAGTTGCTATAAATGTACATACTAGTATAATGTTGCAACAGAAGGAAGCAGAAGCTCCCATTGCTTCAGATGACTATTTTACCACTGCACTATATTGCCCAACTTGTTGTATGCAGCTTTACCACGTTGTTATGTGTCATCTTGAGAATCTGAAATAATGTTTGTGCCAGTGATAATTGCATCGCACCTCCAAACAGCAAACTTTACACCTGAGTGGTATGAAAAATGAAGCCTCCAAGACTGTAATCAATTATATATTCCAAGACTCTTGGACTATAAAAATCTCTACTGTAAAAGAGAAGGAGAGAGAGATAGAGAAAATAGGCTACTAGCATCCTCCTGCACTGCTGGAGAAGACACATGCCAGCCAGTATCAAGTTCTGGCCCAGTTGATTCGATGAGTGCATATGTTATCACCAATGTGAAGTATCACACTGCTTAGAACTTACTGTTTCCTATATCTCTGTATACATATACATCTATGAAATATGTACTACCTTTACTAAGTATATATATTTATTAAAGATGTCTCTGCAGTCATCTTTCAGTCTCATAATACAACTTCTGTTGGAAGCAAGCACTGCAGGGCCAAGTGTCACTGAGAAATCACAAGTTATGGATACGCTATAAAGTCTTAATAACTATTTTTTCGGCTTCCGACAAATCAGGCCTGTCTACAAGCGTGGTTCATAAAATCAATTCCAAAAGGCTAACCTGTGCCAGACCAGGTCTGCCAGTCAACAAGAAAAGCAGTCTTGTGCAATTCTCAAACGCTCTTTCCCTGCATCCCATAATGTGTGCCATATCCTTAGGCAGTGCCTCCCTCCATCCAGAGAGCTGTTCCCCTTGACTAGTGACGGGTTTCACATCTGGGCGGATGCTCTCCTGGGGCAGCCCTAGGAGGAGCCTGGACACCCATTCCTCTGAGTAGGTATC